AAGAAGGAAAAAAAATCATCTCAACAAAATATTAGCAAATACAAACCACCAATTTCTGAAAATGAAAATAGCATCACCAAGTACAAGGTACAAAAATGCAAGGTTAACTGAACATTTGAAAATAATGTAATCTGTCATATTAACAGACTAAAAAAAAATCATATGATCTCAGTAAATATAGTAAAATCATTTGACCAAACAAATGTCTACCCATGACAGAAAATCTCAGCAATCTAAGAACAGAATGTGACTGTTCTCAAAATGATAAAAGGCCACTTCCTTTATACCATTCAAAGCTGCTATAAAAATAACTAGGATAGACTAGGTGGTTTATATATGGCAGAAATGTATTGCTCAGTTTTGGAGGCTGGAAAGTCTAATATCAAGTTGCCATCAGATTCAATCTGGTGAGGGGTTGATTGCTGATTCATAGACTGCAGTCTTTTCACTGTGTCTTCACAGGGTGCAATGGTGGATGGACAAGGGAGGCTTTCGTGATCTTCTTTTAAAAAGAAGCTAGCTAATCTTCCCAGATACTGGGAAGATGAGGCAGGAGGATCACAAGTTGAAGGTTAGTCAGAGTAACATACAGACCCAGTCTCCAAAAAAGCAGGGAACACTAATTCATTTATTAACCTTCATAATCCAATTACCCCCCCCCCCCAAGATCCCACCCCTCCCAAATACTCACACTGGGGATTATGTTTTAAAATAGAAAGTTTGAGGGGGACACAAATATTCAATCTGTAGCACCTCTCTATCATATTTAATGAAAGACTGAAAGATTTCCTCTTAAAATCAGGAGCAAGACAAAAATTATCCACTCTCACCACTCCTATTCAACACCATACTGGAAGTTCTACCAGTGCAATAAGGACCAAAAGGACAGGGGGATAATATACAAATTAAAAAAGGATAACACTGTTCCACAAATATTTGCAAAATAACATGTCTAAAATTTTTTTCAAAGCATCTACCAAAAAAGTTAACTAGATATCCACCCCCCTCCCAAAATAAAAAGTAGAATAAATGAACTTAGCAAGTTTGCAGAATTCAAGGTCAACATGGAAAAACCAACTCTATTTATATACATCATCAATGAATAAATGGAAACTGAAATTTATCATCTATAATAGCAACCAAAGTATGAAATACTTAGATACAATTTAACACAAGGAACAACAGTATCTGAATGTTGAAACTATAAAATGTTTATGAAAGAAATTTAAAAATTATCTAAATGAATGGAAACAAACTATGTTTATGAATTGAAAGCCTCAATTGTTCCCACACAATCTATGCATTAAATATAATCCAAATTAAAATCCCCTTAGAAGATGCCTCAAAAAGTTTTATGGAAAACTAAAAGAACTAAACTAACCAAAATGATTTTTAGAAAGAAAAAAGCTCAAGAATTCTTCACTTTTCCTGACTTTAAGATTTACTATAAAGTAAAACCACTATAACAATGTAGTACTTGGCAAAATTACAGGCACAAGTTCAAGGAGATAATATCTGTAGTACATGATACTGTTACATGCCCACTAGAAGGGCTGAAATTTAAAAGACAGAAATAACCAAGTGTTGATGGGGATGTGAAGCAACTGGAACTGTCATACATTGTTGATGGATATGTAAAATGGGACAACCACTTTGAAAAACAGTTTGGCAGTTTTTTTAACTGATTAAATATTAACTTACCATACAATTCCACAAATTCCATTTCTTAGTATTTACCAAGAAAAATAAAAATATATATTCACACAAGAACTCAGAATGAATAAATGCAGCTTTATTAATAACAGCCCAAACTGGAGACAATCCCAATGTTCATAAATAGGTGAAATGGCCACAAACTGTGGCAAAACAATATCAAGGACTATTCAGGAATAAAGAAATGAACCAGTTAAATACACAAAAAGGATGATCCTTAAAAACATCATGCTGGAAAAAAAAATAAAACAGATGCAATAGAGTATATATCACATAAATCCATTTATATGAAATTCTAGAAAAAAATGAAACTACTATATAGTGAGATAAAGATGAGTAGTTTCCAGGGGCTGAGGGTAAAAGCATGATTAATTGCAAAAGCCCAGGAGGGAACTTTTTGGGAGATGAAAATGTTCTTTGTAGTATGCAAATATTTGACTCTTAATTGTGATGGTGGTAACAGGTATTCACATTTCTCAGAACAAAATTAACTAAATTTTAAATAAGTACAGATTATTGTATATAAGGTATCCTCAATAAAGTTGATTTTTAAACTATTAACCAGGGAATACTGGTGATGCCCAATATAAACCACTTTAAAATATGTCAAATAAAATCTAAGGAAATTTAATACACACTTATAGTTTTAAAAAATGTCAAAAAAAATTGAAACAATGATAATATCTTGGAAAGCCAAAAATAGAAGGAAATTTTTAAATTTAATTTTGGCTATTAATCAGAAAGCTTCAGCAAACATTCATATTCAATGCAAAAACATCAGAAGCATTTCCCTTAAAGACAAAAACAATAGTTTTTAGCTCTTAGAGCTGTTGTTCAACATTAGATACAATGCCAAAGCAATGAGAAAAATAGTATAAAAACTGAAAAGGAAACCACAATACTATGAATATTTTTAAATAAGTATCAATACAATAATGATTAGATACATGACAAACAAAATTCAAAAGCTTTACTATGGGGGGAGGTGGGGGCATGTTACTGTAAGTTTTCATTTCCCATAGCAATCAAACCATAAAGCAGCTAGGAATACTGAGAAGGAATGTCATAAACATGGGAGATGGAGGGGGGGACTATTTAACTTTCCCTGAAAATATAAAGCAAGATGTGACTAAAATGACAAGACCACATTTCAATTGTGTATGTGTTTAAATACTATATTAGCTCCCTTTATATTAACCTAAAATTTCAATATAATCTCATTTAAAATAACTAAGAGTTTTAAAAATTAAATAACAAATTGAGTATAAAGTTCTTATAGAAGAAGAAATACCTAAGAAATAGTCAATAACATTTTCACAAAGAATACTGAGGGAGAAACAGTTATCAAAATTTTAAGTATGCATACCCTTTTCATTCTATTCTAGAAATCCATCCTCAGGAAAAAATAATAATACATAAGGTTTACTGAATTGTTAACAGTGAATGATTCTTTTTTAAAATATATATATGTTTTTAGTTGTAGATGGACATGATTCCTTTATTTATTTATTTTTATGTGGTGCTGAGGATCAAACCCAGTTCCTCAAACATGCTAGGCAAGTGCTCTACCACTGAGCTACAACTCCAGACCAACAGTGGATGATTCTTAAGATGCAGGTAAAACTAGAAAGAGAAATGGGAATTGCACTTTTTAAATCTTACATTCTCCCATAGTGTTTAAATTGTTTAAATGAAGGACTTGATAATTAAACATCAGTTAATACATTAGAAAGCTCTCTTTATTATAAAGCATGATTTGTGTGGGCAAAAAAGAACTGCAATTAATTTAAACCTCTTTCAATAAGGGAATGGTTAAATTGTAGGCCATTCAAACTGTGAAATACCATATAGCCTTTAAAAAGTATTTGGGAGACCTACATATACCAAGGAAATGATGTGCAAGATGTACAATTAAGTGAAAAAGCAAGTGATATACAAAAGTGCTCGGTATATGCCCACCCCTCAAATAAAGTTTGCATTTTTATGTGTGTTTAAAAGGACATTTGTAAAAAGACTTTGAAAGGTGAACACTAAATTGTTAACTCCAGATACTGTAGTAGGGCTGGAAAAATAAAAAGAAATATTCACATTTTACCTAATACTCGTTTATTTAAATTTTACATCAAACATGCATGTCTGTATTTATTAATTAAATAAAAAATTAGTTATTTCATATACAAATGACATGAATCCAAAAGACAATTACAAAATTGAAAAAATAGTTTAAACGTTTATTTCTGTTATTTCCAGGTTTATTTACATGGTCTCCAAAAGATCTGTAGTCTTCAGCAAAGGTGACTGCCATTTTAAAAGAAATGTGACCAAATATTTGATGATAAAAATAACAAAGTATTTTAACCTTAAAAAAAAAAAAAAACAACGTACACTTCACAGAACCAGCAGACTGAAAGCACTATCTATGCGGATGGTAAATTATTTTTTTAATACTCGAGGAGTGAAATCCCGATTATTCTACCTTCCTGCAAAAAAAAAAAGAAACCGTTTACCTCCTCTCCTTTCCTTCAACTTGTTCTATGGCTTTAAACTCACCATTTTGAATGTGCGCAAAACGATTTACCAGCAGTAATCTTAGGGAGGCCAAAATTGGAGGTGCATCTGCCAGAGGCATGCTCTGACCTGACATCCTAACGGGGAGAAGCATTGATGGAATGGTGCTAATATCGAGAGAACGATCTCTAGGGTTTGAACAGGTTGTCTGCGGGCCCAGGCCCCCGTGACAATCAAGAAAAATGCAAATATCCCCAACGGAGCGGCCGCAACGGGAGGTTTCTCCGAGAAGGGGGGCTGCAGGCCTGTGGCGCAAGATGGATCAGCTCTATGCGGGGTGACTGGAAATGGGCAGAGAAGGCGGGTGTGAGTTGTTGGTGGGCGGCACACTCTAGGGCAGTTGCGAGTGTGGAGAGAGCGGCAGCAGGGTCCTTGGCCAAGGCACCAAGGACAGCAGAGGAGGTGGCAGGAAAAGGCAGCGGGCGGAGACCCCCGACACCGATCGATGCCATCCTTCGGGGGAGGCAGCCGACACGGCGGCCCCAGATAGGAGCGCAGCCTCAGGTCCGGGCTGGACAGGGCCCAGGAGGCGAAGGAGGCCTCTCACAGCCATCAACCCCACCCACCATGGCCGGCGCAGCGGGCCAGGGACAGGCCCCGCTCCTTCTCCAGAAGAGACGAAGAAATCGAGGAGCTGAAGGCAGCAATTTCCTCGCCCCGACCCCCACACTCCCGACATCAGAACAAGCCAGATTAAAAAAAAAAAAAAATCCCCTCACCGAAATGTGCAGCGGCTCCGGAGCGAGAACAGCGCTAGATCCTCCACCCGCCACCACCGCCTTCTTCTCCGCCTCCGACTCCTCCCCCGCCGAACGCGCAGCGGCTGGCGGCGGCGGCGGCGGCGGCGGCGGCGGAAGCAGAGGCGGTGGCGGCGAGTCCCGCCCTTTTCGCCGCGTCCGAGGCTCGGAGGAGGAGGAGAACAGGAAAGCCCCGCCCCCAGAACCGCGCTGACCAATAGGCTCAACGTCCCTCTGCGGGAAAAATACACACAACCAATGGGAACCTGAGGAGTGGGCTCACGTCAATGGTTGGGACGTGGCAGAAAAAGGGAAAAATACTTGGACTGTCTCCACGCCCCACTCCCCCATCTCTCGGAGGGACTGTACCCATTGGGCGAAGAGCGGAAAGACGAAGCCCGACTCCACACTCCCCCCGCCCCCGTCCGGGCCCACCCCCTCTCCCTGCAGCACTGCGACGTTTGGGGGAGGGGGCGGGGCAGCGTGTTGGGGCCGAGACGGCACAGCCTTTTGTGGTTTGGGCTGGGAGAAAAGGGCGGGGTCTCAGGGAGAGGGATGCGGGTGGGGAGAATCGAGGGAAGGACTGGCGCAGTTAGACTTTTTCAGAAATACTAACAGCAGCTACCAAGATGGAGGCCTTAAAATCGGTCCAAATTCGACTGGAAACCTAACAAGGTTAGGATTTCCTAGCATAAAATGCAATCATTTGCGATTCACGAATCAGTGGGGAAAAAAATGGAAAAGAAAAAAAAAATCACAGGAGGAAGGGCGTATTTGTCTACCCTGATGGTACGCACTGTGTAGTGCTTTCGGTCTACCCTCCTACCCCGCAGTCAGACCTTGCCCCTACGTTTCTGATTCTGCTGGAGCCGGGGCGAGGGAATAAGGAAGGCCTGCCTTTCCTCTATATAGCCTTGGCCTGACCGAAGCCTTGCAGTTTACGTCTTGAGGCTAACGGGTTGTCAAGCCGGGAAGTAACAGCTCCCATCACTTGCAAACAGAATTAATACAACAGCTGTAGTCCCCGGACATCTTGCTTAATTTAAACGCGGGTAACAGTTTAATTATGTCAGGGATGCAAAATTGTTTTTTTCGTTCCGCACATCTCCTCCTCTTTCATCCCGAAACATGTCCGCTTCTCCCATTACAGTCCTGCTTTCCTCTCTCAACTCCCCAGCCCACTCCACCACCCCGCCCCATCCCCATAGCCTAGTGCCCAGGATATATTTATCGCGTCCCCTCCCCCACGAATTAAGAGCCCTATTGCTTTGGCTGTCCTTTGGTAACTGTAAAATCCGCCAGTTGAACTGAGTTCCGGCCCCCCCCCCCGCCCCCGCTGTTGATGAAAACAAATTATCTAAAATTTATCGTAGAAACAGGCTATGAGGATTTGCTAGACACTTTGTGAAACCAAATCTAATTCCCAGCCATCCTTCATGTTGTATATCTCACCAAGAATCCATTTCCAATTTGATATTGCTCTTACCTTTACACATGCTGCTGTTAAGAGTTGTACTTTCTATCCAAGTCCCTCCCTCCTTGAAAGAGAATTCATATTTTAATTACATTCTTCCAGTTTCCTTTAGTCTTATAGAAAGTACTAACCTGCTTTTGGGGGTAGTGTTTTTCAAATTGCGATCTTTTTCATATCATATTTGTGTATATGACTCAGCATTATTTTCTTTGAATTAATGTATTTTTCTTCATTTTCTTTAAGAAGGAAACTTGATGAAAGTGCTGTAAATTAGCAACTTAGTATCACTTATCCTAAGTTGAAAGTAACTGTAAAGGTACCCATGAAATAATGTTTTAGTTAGAGCCAGAAACCGTGGCACATGCTTATAATCACAGTGACTTCGCAGGCTGAGGCAGGAGGATCGCAAATTTCAGGCCAGTCTTCAGCAATTTAACTAGATCCTGTTGTGGGAGGGGGGATCTGGTTAGAAACTATTGCCCACTAAAGGCTCTGAGACTAAAAAACACATCTTTCGTTGAAAAGATAGATTATCAAGCATTAGACAAATATTAAAGACAGCACAAAAACATTTTTTATCATAACCATCAAAGGATAGAAAAATAGAACCAAAATAGCAATCACTTGCTCACTGTGTGACTCATTGTTTTTAATCTTGCATGCATGTCGCAAGTACACTCATCCAAAGTATCATAAGTGATCTATGTTACTCTGAGAAATGAACTCTAGATATTCTCATACTAGTTCCTGCCTCTGGGCAACCTACTTACCTCTTTGGCCTTGAATTCCTCTTTATGGGAAACTAATAATACCTATGTATGGGTTATGTAGATTAAATGGGTTGTATAGATTAAATAACTTAATCAACATAAAGTATATGATGCATAGAATGAAGTACTAAATACATATTAGCTTATGTAACTGTATTGGTGTATGCATATATAGATACAGTGTATTATTGATTCTAGAGTTGGGAAGCACTCCCTAAGCCAATGAATTGAACTAACCACATGGTATATAATGCAATTTTTTTGGTGTTTTTTAAATCCTTTTATTAGTGAATTATAGTTATACATAATAGTTGGACTTATTTTGACATAATCACACATGCATGGAATATAATTTGTTTCTTTTCAGTCTGGGTTGCCTCTTCTTTCCTGCATTGCCTTCCTATCTCTATTCCCCCTCTCTCTACTGGTCTTCCTTTTATTTATTTATTTATTTATAATTGGCACTTTATAGATATACATGAAGGTAGAATTCACTGGTATGGTTATACATGCACATAGCATATTTTCTCTAATTCATTCCTCATTTCCTCCCTTTCCTGTCCCTCCTCCCTCCCCCTCAATCTCCTTCTTCACTTGTCTTTCCTCTAATAATATCTGACCCCCTTCCTTTCTTCCTCTTACTTTGTTCTAGCTTCTGCATAGGTTAAGAGAAAACATTCAACCCTTGATTTTCTGAGTTTGGCTTATTTCACTTAGTGGGATGTTATCTAGTTCAATTCATTTACCAACAAATGCCATAATTTCATTATTTATGGTTAATACTCCATTGTGTATATACACCACATTTTAAAAATCCATGTATCTATTGATGAGCACCTGGACTGGTTCCATAAGTTGGCTATTGCAGTTGCACTACTATAAAAATTGATGTGTCTGTATCACTTATATATGCTGATTTTAGTTCTTTTGAATAAATGCCACTGATTACATGGAAGACAGAGATAGCTGGATCACATATTGGTTCCTATTCTAGCTTATTTATTTTTTTATTTTTTAAAAAGAATTTCCTACTGTTTTCCAGAATGGTTGCACCAATTCATAGTCCCACAAACAATGTATGAGTATACCTTTTCCCCCATATCCTCACCAACATTTATTATTATTGGTATTTTTTTATAATTATCTTCTGATTTGAGTGAGATGAAATCTCAATGTAGTTTTGGTCTGCATTTCCTTGAACTTTTTTTTTCATGTATTTGTTGGCTATTTGTATTTCTTCTTTTGAGAAATATTAATTTTGTTCTTTTGTCCATTTCTTGATTTGTTTTTTGGTGTTAAACTTTTTGGATTTTATGTTTTCTAGATTTTTAATACCCTATCAGAGGAGTAACTGGCAAAGATTTTCTCCCATTCTGTACACACTCTCTTCATGCTCTTAATCAGTTTCTTTTCTGTGCAGACCCTTTTTAATTAGATGCCATCCCACTTACAAATTTTTAGTTTTATTTCTAGAGCTTTAAGGGTCTTATTAAAGAAGTTGGCACCTGTGCCAGTGTGATAGAATGTTAATCCTAGCAGTTTTGCTAGCAGTTTCAAAGTTTCTGGCCTAATTCCTAAGTCTTTGATTTACTTTGATTTGACTTTTGTTCAGGGTGAGTGATAGAGATCTGGTTTCATTCTTCTTCTTATCTATATCCAGTTTTCCTAGTGTCTATTTGTTTAAAAGGTTATCTATTCTCCCACATATATTTCTGGCACCTTTTTTAAGTATCAGATGATTGTATCTGTGTGGATTTGTCTCTGTATCTTGTATTCTATTCCACTTGTAATACCATAGGGGTTTTTTTTTTGCAACTATAGTTTTGTAGTATAATTTGAGATATCAGGTATTTTGATGTCTTGGCATTATTCTTCTTGGTCAAGATTGTTTGGCTATTTTTGGTCTTTAATTCTTCCAATGTATTTCAGGGCTGTTTTTTTCTAATTCTATGAAGAATGTCATGTTGATGGGTATTTTGATGTGTTTTTGATGGAGATCACATTGAATCTGCTTAATGCTTTTGATAATATGCCCATTTTGACAATATTAATTCTGCCCAGCAAAGAACATGGGAGGTTTTTCCATCTTCTAAGGTCTTCTTCAATTTCCTTTTTGGAATGCTTCACAAACTTGCATGTTATCTTTGTGCAAGGGCTATGCTAATCTCTGTATTGATCCAATTTTGGTATTTGTGTTACCAAAGCAAACAGAATGCAGTAATTCTTAAAGAGTAATTCTCAAACCAACAACATCAGTATTACCTGGGAACTTTTTAAAAATGCAAATATTTTGACCTGAATCAGAAACTTTAAGTGTAGGGCACAGCTGTATTTTTAACAAGCCTTCCAGCTAGTTCTGATGCACATAAAATGCAATGGCTATGGACAGAGGACCTGTGTTGATGTCAGCAAAAATGGAGGCAATAAGGACATCTGAAAGTGTGCATGTGTTTTCCATAAAAGTCACGAGAATGCTGGCAAAATTGTCAGAATCAATTTTTCCAGAACTCTGAAAATTAATCAAAAGCTTTCTGCAATCTGGGGAGTTTTTTTTTTTTTTTTTTCAAGAAAAATGACTGAATTTCTCTAAGAATTGCAAACTTTGTAGCATTTTGATTTGCTTTATTCCAATTTCTTTTGTGTTCTGCTGAATTTCTGAAAATTTCACTCTTCATATGAATCATTTAGGAGTCCGTCAACAATTTGAGGGGAATTTCTATAAAGGTTTTGAGTTTCTTTCTTTGTAGTTCTCTCCTCTTGGGAATTTTTCTCCATGAATTCAGCTATTTTGGCACTTTTGTTCTCTGACCTGTCTCCTCTGTGTAATAAGGTGCTTTCTGTATGCCTCTTTCTGCTCAAACTCTTCCTTGACACCACAATTTGGTAAACTCTGGATGATTTGGAAGCTCACCTCGTGTGTTTCCCTTCTCAAGGATCATAGGCTCTCAAGTTTTACCTGCATGGCTATCTTTTCAGTGCCTTCAAATATTTGTTTTATATATTTTCCTGTTTTTTGTCATTGCCTTTGGTGGGAAGGATAGTCTGAAAGAAGTCAATCAGTAGCAGTTGTAACTAAAAGTCTACCAGATAATTGTTTTTAAAGCTTTTAACAGGAAACACATTTTTAGTCTAGATTCATGGTTCCTTTGCAAATCTTTTAATAAATCCAAATTCAAATTTTAATAAACTTCTGAAAATATTTTCCTTCCAGGAAGTTTTGTAAATAATTATCCATATTCAGAGTTCTTTCCCAGATTTAATTTCAAATCTGGTTTGAATCTTTCCTTCCTCACCTTCATCCTCTGTGTTTCAATTTAATGGTGACTACCTTTAGGCCTTTGGGCTTGAATAGGAAAGCCAGGTTCTTAAACTGAATTTTTTTTTTCCATAAAGTTTGTTCTTTTTTGTTTGTTTGTTTTTTAACTTTTAAA